AGAAAGGTCACATTGTTATTTTCTTACACTATGGAACAGTTTCTATTATTGTAGATTCCAAAAGCCTGGAATTGTTGTTATTTATGATCTAAGTCAAATTTAAGTTCTGGTTTGTACCAATTACCACAAGTCACTCTAGGTTTTCTCTCTTCATTTCACAAATATTTGCAAAATAATTCCTTCACACTTGAAAACAGGGAAAATGTGCTCTTCTTTTCTTCTTTAGTGGTTAACACAAAGGTCTAGGAAAATATTGTTTTGACAAGAATCATCCAAAGAAACCACATTTTCTTTGAGAAATTTCAGAGGCTAAATGAGAGGTGTAAGTTATCGCTCAGCAGTGAACAATAACAAGAGTTTTTCTATGTGCACTTTCAAAAAAGCCATTAGATCTTTTGCTCCTGGTGCTTCTTCCTCTCATAGCACTCTAACAATGTGACAGTTTAACATACACTTCTTATTAAATCTGTATGGTGCCCATGCTTTAAAAAAAAAAGGTAGAAGGCCATATCCTGCTGCTTACTATGCTGCTGCAAGTTCAACTATGCTTTCCTGAAAATAAATGAAATTACTCCGAGTTTACACTGGAGAAAATGAGAGAAGAATCTGTCTCAACATCTCTGCAGAGCTGCCAGGTTAGTTGAAATACCATCTCTATCCCTTGGAGATATGTAAGAGTGATGCACATATACCAGTTAAGCACCGATTTTCTGGGCATTTGAAGGGCTGGTGCAACAGAGGGGGCCAGCAAGGAGCGGTCACTCCAGCACTTGGAGCTCCTCTGACCGCAAGCTGCTCGCTGGTGGCACATCCCTTGGTGCAGTGCTCTCCAGCCAGATGCAGCCATGCTGTGTCCCTGGGTCATGGAGCACCTGAGAGTGCTGCCATGTGCTGCAAAAAACAAAGCCTTGCTGTGGGAAAGCATTGGGTAAGAGACACATAGGGGACGCTCATGCTTGGAGTAGGGACCGGAGAAGGGGTTGCTCAGTATTCAGTAGGAAGGGAGACTGGTTGGATTTAGAAGGAGCCTGTTAAGACCTGGTGAAGAAAATTATCTAAGGCATGCCCCAATTAGGGCAAGTAAGGGCAAAAAAAGCCCCAAACTGCAACTAATCACACCACATTCCTGTGTTCTTGAAAAAAAAAAAAAAAACAGAAAAGAAAAAATGGAGAAGATGATCCCATCCTCCAAGTGATTATAAAGCAACAAGGACTAACAAGGCCCTGAGCTCTGCATGAGGAAACACTGTTGTGGTTTGTCACTACATAGACAACACCAACTCTTCCAGAGCCTTAAAAATAAGGACCACTGGTTGTTCGTGTGAAGTGGGGGGTGAAGCGCTCATGATCCCCTCTGTTATCCTTGCCCCCAAAGCTGAGACTAAACAGTGCACAAGCCCACATGTAGCAGATGGAGTGGCCTCACTCCATTAGGGCTCCCATTCTCATGAGCTCTGCTTTCTTTTCTCCCCTCCCTCGAGTAAATGAAGTTGAATAAAAAAATTTGGAGAAAAAGTCAGCTTGAAACTTTTGAGTTTGATTTGGCTGTAGGTCAAAACCAGAAGGGAATGAATAATATTTTATTTAGTAGATACAGGCTTTTTCTTTTTTTTTTTTAATTGTTTTTTGACTTCTTCACGGAAGACTAATGATCAAAAACTTCAAAAATATGTATGGAATTCCTTAGACTAGTTAAAAATGTCAAGTTTTTTCTTCAAAAACGTGAAGCCTTACTTCAAAAGTGTCTTTCACTGACTGGACTATGTTTCTTCACAAGAGGAAAGTTAGATTTCAAACTTCTACCCAAGCTCAGTTACAGATTTTTCCCTCATCAGCCCAGGTTCCGTGTAAGTATTGCAAACCTGATTAAACCTGTGCAGAATTTGGAGCTTCTAATTATTCCTAAACAAAGAGAGTGTTGAATTTCTAAGAGTTTTTTTCATGACTATGCATATGTTGCATCCTGATAGACAATGGAATGGTGAATCTTTCCCACAACAACACAGAATTAAACAGAGAAGCAAACAAAACCTTCATTCAGATTAACCTTCCAGGAAACCAAGATGATTTCCATCATTTTTATGACTTTTCCCTAGAGGCAAAAGACATCTAATTAGCAAATCCCACTACAAGTTTGCTCTGGTTTGACACAAAGTGAATGTGACAAGCAGGGAAATTATAAGCCTTACATTTCCAGTTAGCAAGCTTGGGCTGATAAAGTCAAGTTCAAATGGTTTTTGGGGATCTTAAAGCTTGGGGAGTAAAGATCCAGAGGGTGAGCTGGTTCAGTTTAAATGTGAATTTATAGTGTTCCAGTCAGTGTTATCTGATGGCAATGTCACAGCAGCCCTTTATGAATGTGAATTCAGATTTCCAGCTACAAAGAATTCCAGCCAGTACTGAGATGGTCCTTATAATCCACAATTATGATCATCTGAGGAGGACTTGAATGATACCAAGCAGAATCAAACCTTGATTCCTCATGAAGGAATAGGGCATGACTAAAATAAATATTAATCATGAAGTTAACTAGTAAATGCTGAAAATTAATCATGCATTAATGTTAACGATGTGTAGGAATCCTCAAAGGTGGGATATGATCCGCCAGGAAAGAATGCTGTGCAACCTAAATAAGGTGATGTCCCCACTGTTAAGATCAGCAGGAGCTGATCCACGAGCTTGCTTTGATCTTTATCATTTTTTTTGGAAGATAATACTAGTGGTGTCTCCCACCACTCTGATTTAATATTCAGATTGGTCCTATGGGGAAAGCAGGCCCTGACCAAAGGGTTAGTGAGCTCTTGCAGCTGTGCAAGCAGACACTAAAGGAGTCCACAGAATTCATAAATACTGTCAGGTGAAGAATTATGTTCAAACCTTTCCAAAATTGCAATTTATGGACAAATCGTATTTCTAAGTATTGTTCCAGCAGCTACAGAATACTAACAGAGACTATCTAATTTTCTGAACTTCAGAAGAACTTTGGAATAACTGCTAAGGATCTCTAAAAAAATTCCAAAATTACCTCTCTAGAGCATAAAACCAACAATCTTGATGCTAAAGCCCTATAATCCATGCCTACAAAGCTTCTAAGCTTCTCAGCTGTGCTGCGGGCCAGGTAGCCACATCCTGCAGACAAAACTGTGAGATCATGGTCAGGTGACGACACTTTGGAAAGCTACTTGCAGAAGCCTGATGTCATCTGATGGTGACAAGGCAAAACTCCTTCCTTGGTTTGGCACTCAGTAAAGTTCATTTAGGGAAAGTTTCCTAGGCCAAAAGATCTTGTGGCTGCACAGGTGAGAGATTTTACTGCACTCATGATGTACATTGCAAGTACTACTATGGCCATGTTGCCAAGTACCATCTTGTTGGCTTGCCTTCCTGAGCAGCAGGGCAAGAGGACACAGAGCAAGGAGCTAACATTGCCTCAAGCAGAGCTGCTCTCAGTGTTTTTATCCCTCTCCAGAATGTGACCTTGCATACTTTTTTCAGAAAAATAGTAGTGCTCGCAAAAGTCCTGCCTGTCTCCTGTGCTGACAGATTGCTGGAAGCTTCATCATGTCTGAATGAAGGAACTGTTAAAATCCATCTGCCTGCCAGTCTATTAAGAGAATGGGGAAATGTGCCTAAGAAGAGAGCACACAGTGGCCCAAGAAGGAGAGGAACCGCCAGCAGAGACCTCCCGTAAATCAGCAAAGCTGTACTTGCTTCCTGCCAACGCTCGTTCTCCAACATCTCCCAACAAAGCAACATCTACCCACCCAAAAATGCCTCAATGTTTCACCTAGTACCTCTTGCTAAGGCATTAGCTGTTGGAGAAAGTCATGGTTAGTTGGTCAGGGAATTTAAGAGTTAAATGTGGAAAGGTGTCCATGCACACAGCTGTATTTATTTTACATTTTTTAAAACATCAGACTGTTCACCTGAACAGTTTGGTGAAGAAACTCCAGTTCTGAATGATTCATTCACAATGCTGCTTCTCTGGGACTTTATAGAAGACTTAGGCTTTCACCTTTCAGTAGTTACTTATAGCTGTTTTTCACATCCACAAATGATCTCCACACCTATATTTCCATTCCATACCTTCAAAGGTTTTAGCTCAAGCCCCACCAAAACTCCCCAGAGTGGCTTGAACGTCCCAAGGTCAAATACGTTTTACTTGTTTTGCACCTGATTTCCTGTTTCTGGGGTACAGTGAGGTTAAATGTTCAAACTTTGATTGGAAAGTCTGAAACGTGGGATCCTGGTGCACAATGACTTGACACAGCATAGCTGAGCTATAGTCATCAATCGCGTCAGAGCACTGACTCATGATAACACCGTGGGAGCTGGCCATGTGCTATATAATTGTAGACGTATCTGTGGCAACCTTCACCTTCATATCTAAGCAAGTATTTTATCCACAGAATATTCCCAGAAGTGTGATGGGTGTTTATAAAGCTCACAGAAAAATCTTAGCTTTCCTTTGCCAAACAGATAACAAATGTGCAAACAGTATTTACGTCATGTCAGTCAAAGACATCTAAACCCAGAATTTCCTAACCCTGCCTCCCTGAGGAAAGCCATGGCATAAAAATTAATGTCGTAAAATACATTATCTAAGATAATGGGAATTCATTGAAATTTTGCCATTCAAAAGAACATAAATTTTTGTAAGTTAGAAAATTTAGATAGGGGTTCAAATTAAGCTTGCATCTGCTCCACCATCTCACCTTTCTGACAAGTATCTACATAATATATCAGTGACATATTCACTCCATTGCGTTAAGAAAAAGTGTTACGAACATGTCTTTTTTGAAATTCTCATAAATATGCATCCACAATATACCTGAATAGGTGCTAAACGTGCCATCATCAGCTTTGCTGAAGTACATGTGGAGATGGTCATTATCTGCCACCCGTGCGCATCTCCCAGAGGAATGAGGCCAGGCTGGAAGAGCGATTTTACTAGTCAGACCAGAACGATTCTGTAACAAATGAGGAGGAATTTGCCTTACCTGTCTATGCTGCTGAGAGACCGGATACTGCAAACCTGAGATTTGCTGGCTTTGCTGCATTTTCTGAAGCATCATTTTTTGCTGCACTGCTAGGGGTACATTAGGCCTTTGAAGAGATTGGTTGGGGAGAGGCTGAGCAGGCTGCGGCTGCGGCTGTTGTTGCTGCTGTTGCTGCGGCTGTTGCACAGGGGCTGAACCCTGTGCCTGCTGTGTGTAGTGCAGAAGGGCAGGCTTGTTTTGGGAACCCAAAACTGAAGGCATCTGTTGGTTTGTTTGCTCTGAGTTAAAGTGAAACAAAGGCTTTGTGTTGCCGTGATGCTGCTCTAGTGGTGGCTGAGTGCTGTTGATAAAGTTTCTGTTGAGGTCCTGAGGCTTCTGTTGCATGATTATGTCCATGGGATTGCTCTGGGGAGTTGTTGGTTTATAAACATAGTTGTTCATCCCTTTCGACTGGTTCCCATTCACTGGTACCCCAAGCATTGCTGAGCTTTGTGGGCTGAACTGCTGCTGGCGAAAAGAAGGACTGGGGTTTTTCTCTTGCACAAAGGGTCCAGGGGAAGGTCCTGATGGAGACAAGGTGGACCAGTTGGCCGTCTGGTTCTGCTGCTGCTGTTGCTGCTGAATCAAGGCATGCTGCTGCCGGTTGGCTGCGATCTGTTTGAGCTGCTGTGCGTGAGACACCTCCTGCCAGTTAGGCAATGGCCGACTGGACGCAGAAGAAACCTGCGATACCTGTGTTTGACTCTGAGGCACCGAAGGGATGGGTGAAGAGGTGGACATGGCAGCGGTGGCCATAGTAAAGGCTGGACCTGTAGAAGAAGGCCTCATCTGTGGGGAGCCCACAGGAGCCTGATTCATGCCTGGTGCATATTCACTCTTTATCACCATCTTATCCATCTGCAGAGATCTCACAGGGCCCCTCTGGCTCTGCTGTCCAAGGTCAATGTTGAACGGCTCATCTTGTTTTATTGTGGCATTTATCATATTCTCTAGTTCAAGATCACTCATTGGTGGCACTGATATGTTAGTCAGTTCATTAAATAGTTCCTGAAGCTCCAGATCCATCATTTGTTCCCATGAGTCTTCCCCATATCTGTTAGGGAACACGTTCTCATGGGATGTCTGGCTATCTAAGTGTTTGCTGCAGGACATTGTTTCTCCTGGTTCTTTCTTTACCTCCTTCAAAGTCATATTAAACATGCCATTCCCACTAGCATGTGTATTGTTTGCTAGGTTGCTGGCCTTTCTTTGTGATCCTTGCCCCACAGACATAGTTCCTGACATTGACTGGCTTTGGCAATTGTTAACATGTTGTCCACCTTGTCCCACTGAGATATTATCACTCACTCTTATCCTCTTAATGTCAAGGAAAGAGCTGTCTGAAACACCATTGGGCCTCTTGTTGACAGGCGACAGATTTACCACCAACTTTCTCTTCAAGGAGCCTTGAAGCTGAAAGAAGCAGAGACAAAAAAAGTAATCATTAAATGACACCAAAGAAACAATCTGTACTCTATTTGCTCGAAAGATCTTGCAAGTCAACAGACAAGTAAGCATTGCTTAGTACAGTAAGTTACTCTGGGCTTTCTCAGTCAATGAAAATACACAGAACTGTAGGAAAATATATTGTGAGACATCTCCTTGCCACCACCACCCCTGTCCTTGTAGCAACCAGCATTTTTTGAGCACTGCTGCTTCCTGTTGATCACAGACCCCCCTTTCCCCCATGGGTGTGAGTGGCCGAAGGTGCCAGAGCTGTAGTTGGCAAAGCCTGGGGCATATCTGCCCCAGACTTGCTCCCATCTAATTGTGCTGGACAGATCTAAAGCGTTTTTAGATAGCAGAGACTAATGCAGTCATGAGATCCACCCTTGTGCCTATCCGCTGCTGCAGGATTTCACTCTCATGATTTTGGTATATGATCCAAGAGACCATTTTTGACTGCTGTAGAGTCCAAAGGTCCTAGAAGACATTTTAATGGCACACACGAGATCCAGGCATCCCAATCTCACATAGTTTTATACTGGCCAGAGATGTGTATACTTAAAGATGTTATAAGTTAATCTGTTCAAAACTGAAAAGGAAGCCACTGAAGCCATGTTAGGTTATGTCAGCCAAGGGTCTGGTCCATAATGTACTGCCGGATTATTTTCCAGAGGTGTATATTAATACATTAAGCCCTAATTGTTTATGTCCTGAAACATCTGCTATTAAACACACACACTCCACGCAACACTGCTCTGAGAACTGTAACTCAATTTCCTTTCCTTGAATATTTACAGCGATACTTTCATCTGCTCAGAAGCCCTGTGGGTCTACTGAAGGAAAAGAGGTTCACAGCCCTGTCCACCTGAGGTATGCTCCTCTGCCATGGCTGTAGGCACAAATTCCCACAAAACAAAGGTGTAGTCCCATGAGCTAAAAAGTTTGGACTTGGTGCAGGTACCCTCAAGTAGGGTTGCTTTGAATTTTGAAGACACAGTGCATAAAGGAATAGATCACTTTTAAACAAGCGCAGCTGTCATATCTTTAGCTCTGTACATGAGAGGTGCACACCAAGCACTAGACACGGGGAACACGCACGCACGCAGCCCTCGCTCGGTCGGCACACGCACTGTCACTCTTTCAGCTGCGAGCAACATCAGGAAACTCTGCAGGGAAACATGGTTCATCTTCTGCCTTTCTGCACCTGGGCAGAAGTGCATCGGCCTTGGAGGCAACAGGGCAATGTCTTCTGACAAATACCTGTGTGTGCCAGTGAGAAAACAATGCCCATACAAACTGTGATACCTTGGCAGCCTGTGATGGGCAGAGGGAACACTGAGAACTATTTTTCCAGTTAAGTGAGGAAGGATGATTCATGAGATCTTCAAAACACATTCTTTGTATCATGATGTTTCACGTACAGAACTCCATGGACACCTAATACTCTGTTGTGGCCCCCATTCCCCTCAACTTCAGGCTCATCTATAGGTAAGAGCTCTTCCCAGATAACCCCAGGTGTGAACACTTTTATTCTGGTGTGAACACCAGACAGTTCCTTGGGAAGAGCTCAACGGACAGATATATATTTTCTCCATACCCACCGACCCTTCCATTGCATCAGCAGGTCACTGAGTTTAGCCCTTAAAAATAAAGCTTGTAGTTTCTCTCTCTGACACCAAAAATCTCATTTCATATCTCAAGTTAAGTTTCCAGAAGAGATTTTGAATCACAGACTCATGTTTTCATTTCATAAGGACAGACATGCTGGTGCCTAGTTGTACAAGTACACAGACCTCGTGCCTTCCAGAGTAACTAATTGTCATTAGCTGTCCCCTGGGAGGGAGTTTTGGGTGGTCACTTATGAAGTGCACGGACTGTCTCTGGTTAGTATGTTCCTTCTGACACATGAGTCACTGTACTTTCCTTTGCGAAAAAAACGGTAAGCTGCACTTCCTTTTACCATCATCTTTGCTGTCAGTGTGTTTATTAGAAATCATCCTCGTGCCCCCAGATTCATCTTCCTGGGAAACAGGGGAGTCCCCAGGTCACCAGAATACATGACTTGGCAGCACGTTTTGCTTTCAGATGTGCTGCTGACAGAAAGGTTGAACAGATAATGAATAATATATCCTCTGCATATGTACACGCTTTATGTGGTTATTACGCCTTTCTGAGCTAATTTTGCCTTTGCTCGACATTTTGAAGCAGAGGGAACTGTTTAAAAAGTCTTCACATTGTCAGAGCACCTGCCCCGGGCTTTCTGGTACAATGAAAGCCGCAGGTGCTACACGGTGCTGTGCATGGTGGCTGCTTTTCTTCTGCATTTGAACTCAGTGCTAGCAGATACGGGGGATCCGGGGAGTGACTTGCCTGGTGACATGCCCAAGTCAGCAGCAGAGCCAGGGAGAGCACCACCATCTCCAGGCACATCCCTTATCTGAGCACTCCCTCCCTCGACGTGGCCCTGGAGGACTCCTGGTTTCATGACATCTGCTCTGCTCAAGTGCCCACCAAAAAGGGCACTGTGCATTTCTAAAGAAGAAAGAACAAGTTGCTGGCTTGTCACACCTCCCCAAAACCTTTCGAGCACTGCCCTCTGAATGCTGACAACACCGCGGTCAATAGATGTCCCCACCTTAAAGCAGAAATGAGAGCAAGTGAGGCTGCAAAGGTGCAAAGGACTCTCAGGGGACTTCACTGAGGCTGCTGGAAAGGTCCTGATTTTGCACCCCCCATGAGTTTGGGATGTGGAGGGCGAGGGGATGGGAAGGATGTGAGCAGCACACAGGGATGAAGCCCCCTCTCCCTCCTGCACCGAGCTGTTACCAGTGATGTGCCAGGGCGGTTCACGGGGGACCAGTCTGTGTTTGCTCAGTGAGATGAGCAGTGTCCATCACAAGCCTCTCTGTCTCGATATTTCATCGGAACACTGCCTTCTATGGGGCACTGCTGCCCAAGCGTTATTCCTGGTTTGGTTTTACAGGGGAGCGGACCAGGGTTCGATCCCTCAAATCTCTGCTGTTTTCTAGCAATCACGTTTTTCAACTACTGACTGAAAGTCTGTACTCGAGCCCTTTTTCCCCAAGCAAAGCACAGACTCTTCAGAGGGTAAAAAAAGAGCTTGCCAGATTTCAAGCTCCATCTCTTCCAGTGTGCAAGCCAGGATTGATTTGGGGCAGTAAACGTAAAGCAAAAGTTGCTCTAACACACAGGCACATTCCTCAGATCAAACGGGCTCGTGATTACACATCTCAAACCGCTTGAACTGCGTCATACTGAAAGGCTCCGTGATGGGAAAGGAGTGACATGACAGTAAGCGGGAGAGGAGGACGCCCTCCACGCGCAGCTCCATCCCACAGGTAGGTGGGCAGCCCTGTGTGAACCACCACAGAGTACCGGCGGTTCCTGGCAGCCTGTCTTATTGAGAGACCTTTCACTGAGCAGGCTCTGGTGCGTCAGCACGCGTTCACGCTCTTACAGCGAGGCAGTGCTGGATGTACTGGTTTTCTGAAGTTAAACCAGCAGGGGCTAAGCCCATGGAGGTCACATTGGCAAGACAGCGCAGTGCTGTTACTGACCAAACTGGCAAAACTCTAGAGATGACTTGGTCTAAACGACCCAGAGTGTGACAACACGTCCTGTGCAGAGGAACAATTAATTTCTATTTAAAACTTATTCTGAGCCTTAGAAGGGATTTAAGAGAGGTGGTGGATGCTCCATCCCTGGAGACGTTCAAGGCCCGGTTGGATGAGGCCCTGAGCAACCTGATCTAGTTGGAGATATCCCTGTTCCTTGCAGGGGGGTTGGACTAGATGACCTTTGAAGGTCCCTTCCAGCCCTAACGATTCTATGATTCTATGATAAGAGAGGCAGCTGCTTCTCTGATGCTCCCTGACACCAGGTCAAATCAGCAGGAGTTCCACCAAGCTAATAATTAGGGCTCATCAAAATCTGGTATCAAATAATTTCTCCTTTGAGGAAAAAAAAAAAAGAAAAGGGCTTTTACTTCACCTTCTTTTGGTTGATTTTTTTACTACATGTAAAACTATTTTGCTGAAAATTGGTTGGTTTGTTTGTTTTTTTTTTCTGACTTTAAAGCTTTTTCAGAAACTCGAAACAAGAACTTTGGTGCAAAAACACAAAGTGTCAATGAGAATTTTTAGGGATTGTTTTCTCCCAACTATCCATATTTAAGAACATTTTTATGACATCTTTGATCTGTTTCTGACATTACCCATGTCATTCACCTCGTATTCCTTTCCACAAGGACTGTCGATTACAGCCAAGAAAAGAATCTGTCTGTGACAGTAGGAAATAATAAGAACTATCTGGTTTCACTTTCATTGAAAGTCTTATTTTTTGTGTGCTTCATGAAGCTTCTTCAGTTGGACTTCCTTCAGAATTTGCTTTTTATGTCCTAGGTTAACCATCCAGCAGCCTTCAGTTTCACAGCTCTCAGGACAAGTAAAACACAGCCTGTCCCTTTGACTTGCCTAAATATCTCCATAGCGCCTGCAGATCTCAAAAAAAAAAAATTTCCCACTGCAACCCATCCTTGGCCTTGTACAGAGATGTTAACAACACATCTGGCTATCATCTCAAAATGTTTATAGCTAGGCACTTAAGACTGGGCCAAAACACTCAAATGCTCCAAAAGTAAACTACAGAGAAAATAGATCGTTATAGTTTTAATTCTCCACTAATTTTTATTAGCCGAAGATGTAAAAGGAAGATCTCCTACCGCCTTTGGTCACCCATCTCTCATATTCTCCTGCTAAGGTTTACAGCTTTATTAGCTTTGTGTGATGGAACAACAAGGACGAAACTCATCACGTGCTGCTAACTTAAACCCCAAGCAATTATCACACTTTGTGACGCAGGCAGCGTTACCGATTCACGTGGAGTAATACTTCTGATCTTAAAAGAGCAGCTTCAGATTTTATGCTTTTAATGTAGAAGCAGCAAAC